CATGTGAGATCCGACAGGCAGGCAGTAGGGATTAACTCTGGCCCTCGTGGTCTGTGTGGCAAGCAAGCATATCAAAAAGATGAAAAAGAACTTTGATGATTTCCTTGCAGTTCAGTCTTTGTTCCTAATAATCTCCAGAAAGCTGTCCTGTGTGTCTGGGAGAAAAAGCATGAATTTGAGAAGAGGTCTTTAAGCAGTTTCTAATAAGAAAATATTTTAATTTGAAAAATTACATCAGCAGGGGAAAAAAAAAAGTAAATATTTACTGATAAAAGGCAAAAAGTGTCCAGGCAGTCTTGGCAACAAGAAACTACACGGGAAGTTAGAAAGATTGCCTTAACAGCCATGTTTGTGTATCTTCTACGTATATAATAGTTCTTCTGGAAGTAGACCAAACATAGGTAAGCTAACCATAAATGCAGGTTCTGGTTCTACTGCCATCAAAAGAATCACAATATGGAAATCTGTAGTCCTCAAAGTAAAGCATCACAACAAGATAAGACAGGGTTGGGCTAAATTCCAGCCACCTCCTCACCAGGCGGGTGGGGAGGTGGGAAGTGGAGCAGCCTGAGGGTAACCTAAAGTAGCCTAAGACTATTTAGCATGGTAAAAATCCCCCCCCTGGTGACCTAACGGGTAACATCAGAGTGCCTCTGTATAATGGGCTAGGCACTAATCAGAGAGTGCAAAAGGGCGTTATTTAGGTGACCAGGAGGTGCACGATGAACAGGTATTGTTCAGCTTTTCTGTGTTGGGAGCCCTCTAACATCCTGCAGCTCTCCAGAGCAGCGTGCTAGCTTGGCAGCTGGCAGCTGGCACTCTTCTGCACAGGGCTGGAACAAAACAAATAGCTCTGCATGTCGGCTGGTTCTTGCACGCTGGGTAAAGAACCCACGTTTGGGACAACACCAGGAGTAGCCAGTGCATTCTGTGAGCAGAGGTGTATTCCCACAAGTGGCTGGGGTGGCCCAGCAGCCTATGGGTGTCCCAGCTCCTCCGCGTCGTCGTAGCCCGTGTCTCCCGGGGCAGGGGGTGAGTGCCTCCCAGCCTCGGCCGGCCTCTTCCCTGACACACTGGGACTCCAGTCTGAAAGCACCAAGGGAAGAACACTGAGGTACCCACATCCTGCACGTGTCACCTTTCCACGGCTCCAGCTGCCAGCGTGGGCGCTCGGTTGCCTTCCCCAGAAATTACACCCCACCTGAGGTACCACAGGTACATGAAGTGCACAGAGAAAGGAAAGTCTGTCGTAAATATTTTTTTTTGCTAATTCCTTTTGAATTAGATGGGCCTGACAAAATTTAGTGCTAGACTAAAAACCTAGCTGAATCCATCCCCCAGGCCCTGTCCTCTGTGCTTTAAGAACTCTCAGAGAGCAGGCTTGGAAGGACTGGGAAAACACAGGTAACATGTTAACATGGGGGGTGTGGGAGAAGAAACAAGATTAGGAGTTACAGAAAGTTCAATTTCAGGAAGATGTGAGGAAAAATAAACTACTTGTAAGGAGACAGAAGAAAAAAAGTAGGTATGTAACAGATAACAGATTTGTCAAAAATAAGTCATACCAGGAAAATCTGATTTTCTTTTCTGATAATCTAAAAGTGCTTTTTTAAGGGAGTAGGGCAAGCACTGAACACTGTCAGGAGCGTCCTGCTATTGCAAGAGAGGGAAACATCACACTGGTGTGGATAAACAGAAGGGTATCCTGTGAGACATACAAAGTGCTCCTTCTGCTCAGCCTGACACCACCAAGATCTTAGTACCCTGCTGTACAGAAATACTGTAAGATTTGGGTGTTGAAACACCTTTTGAAAGACACAGACCTACTGACACAGCTGACCTACTGACTGAGTGGAGACATAGAGAGTGAGCAGAGGTCTCGTCCACCTAAGCAGAAAATTGACTAATTTAGGTTGTGGCAGGCAAACCAAGAGGAGATACGTTAATAGTCTTCAAGTATTTAAAAAGCTGTTACAAAGATGAATGCAGCTGCTCTACCCCCACGGTCATCATAGTAAGAAGTAACAGTTTTAATTTGTAGTGGTGAAAACTTAGGTTAGGCCACAGGCAAGAGTTTTACAGCTGTAAGGAAAAAAGTCTATAGCATGGGTCTAGATTGCTTGCAGAGGCTGCAGTAACAGTGACACTAAGTGGCTGTAAGAACAGAATGTATAAAATCTGAGCTATGCTCCTTGTGTAGGTAGGTAGTGTTCCTTCCTGGCAGGGATTAGGTAAAACCTAAGTGTTCCCTTGAAGCCCTTTCCACCTTGGTTTTCCCTTAGTTCAGTACAGTACCTATAGATTATAGAACCCCATAGCACTGCTCTTCTGGCCTCACCTGCCTGTGAATCCTTGCTGCTGTTGTTTTCTTCGGGGATCACAATGATTTTATGTTCATTTTGCCCAGAAAAAGAAGCATCTTTAGGTCCAGGAACTTCTGTCACATCATCATAACCATCTTCCAGGGCATGTCCAGACAGCTGAGAGACCTCTGGAACAGTAAAAGTATTAAATATAACAGGGAGAGGTTTTCTATTAGAGAAAGCAGTAGCTGATGATCCAGTCATAAGGGCCTGTAATACTGACATTATCATGGTGATAATGAACACCAGGAATCCTTCTGAGGACTCTGAGGCATTCCAGACAACAATTGCTGTAGTAAGTGGAAAGTGAAAACCAACATGGAGGAGGGACATGAGGGGCAAGAACATCTGGAGGAGAACAGCTAGAGACAGGGTTTATTTCAGAGGGAGATTCCCCACTGCATTTCATAATTGCACAATGAAATTACTCCTTGTTTGTCTCTGCGTAGCACCTGCTCTCTTGTCATTACTGTAACCACTCTATATATTATATTATATAACAAACCCATATAATAATATATCAATGTGTCACATTCCTTGTAATATAGAAAATATTCTTGTAATATTATGCAATTTTCCAGGTTTGGGGTAGAACAGAGCTGGTTCTCTTCAATGATTTTACTTTTCAGCTAAAGCTCTTCTAATGAACTGCACTGTCTGAAGGCATGAAGTGCCACAAGGAGAAAGTTTTAATCCACAATAGTACTTTGGAAATTAAAAGCTACCCTGATGTTGTGTATCTTTCTTTGTAGGATCCCCATCTTTTCTTACCTTGAGTTGCTCCAGGACCATTTTCTTCATCACTGTCCCCACTATAAAACTGTGCCTTTATTTTTGAGCTCTCTGAATAAGAATCTAGGCAAATGAG